CTATCACTCACAATCGCAAGTATGTGCAGCAACAATTGACCAGTTCGATTAAAGTTTCTCCTCTTAGTTTCTTCTTACTTCTCTATCTACATTTGCTCTTTCCAACATTTCTATCCATCTAACCCTTTGGCTCCCACTCGGAAACCCCCAGTCAGCACTATTACTCCCACTCATGGTGTCAAGTAAGTGCATCAGTGGGGTGTAACATACAGTCCTAAATTGAACTACGCTACATGGCATTAAAGACTTGTGAAATATGCATTGATAAGATTTTCTTCATAGTATCATCTAAAACTGCCTGGTTGAGTCCACAAGGCTACTACTTTTCAATGCATATCAAGAATCATGGATAAAGACAGTTTAATTACCTTAAAATATGCAACAATTTACCGAGACAATGGGCTCAGTAATGTAGCAGATTGGCAAGACAGGCAGCCATTTGTTCTGTAAACAGATTTAATCAGATTTTGGATTCATTTACAGGAAAATGTTTTTACATTCTACACAGAGTATTTTACTTGTTATATAATGTCAGACAGAAACTGGAGACGTGTTTAGTATTTGCTGAGTTTCTCTGACTTGCAGCTTGTCTTTCTGGAGCAGCTTTCCTCCTGAAGCTCAGACTGGAGCGATGTGGGATATGCAGCTTTACAATTTCAATATATTTTCCTATCAGTTTGGACGCCCTACTTATGAGGACAAATAAAGGGCATGCTGAATAATGGCTGGCTCTTTCTGGTAGCATTCAGTGAGCTTCAGTTTGAGGAAGGATTTCAGTAATTCTCTTTTCCTGGGAATCAGCAGAAAAACAGCTACAGTGGAGACGCAGCAGACGAAAAGAGAATAAAAATAGACTGAATAGCAATGAGACAACTTTCCTCTCGCCCGGAGCCATGCGTGAGTCAAAGTGGGGGTTGCTTCTCCTCATAAGGACCTCTTGCAGCTCCTCAAGGTTTAGCAGGGAATAATTTTACCCGATCTAATCCGAGTCCAGCAAGCTCTGACGGGCCTTGGCCCTGCTTCTCTCGGATAAGGGAAAGTGGGACAAGACACTCGCACACGGTGGGGGAGGATGGAGCTTCTGCCGAGCACATTTCCTTCTCCAATTTTCTGTCTACAATTTGGGCATTTTGGTGATGCTCTGAATTAATCTCGCTTTAACCAGAGTCCTCCAGGCTAGACAGTGAGTAGAGATCTGTGGAGGATGACTGTAAAAACATCTCAGGGGAGCTCCCCTTTCATGATTAATTTGAAGTTTGCTGTTTGTGATTAACATGCGAGGGCCTGCATGCCTCAGATTAGATTCTTGATCAGGTTGCATCACCCAGAATATTATTTACATTTTTAGTTTGAGTAAATTGATGCTCATACCCAGGGTGATTTACACTGAGCAGCAAAAAAAAAATTAAGATTACCAGCATTAAAAATGAGACGCAGTGCAGCAGCCAAAGCCAAACTGCCCTGAAAACAAATGTCAGATACATGAGTGTGGATGCAGAATGATGCCGCATTACAAAGTGTGTTCAGACTGAACGTGAGCTGCATTCAAAGTCACCTGATGGGAGGAAAGTTTTTCTAAACTACTGCGACTGGAACCAGTAGACACGAACAGAACAATAGTTCTTTGGGCCCGAACTTAGAATTGAGCACTCCCTATTTCCCTGTGTTGAAGTGCTGAGCAGCAGTGTCACATGAATCTGATTGGCCCTTCGCAAATACTTATTCTTGGGCTGTTGCACGCTCACGCACACAGGGTTAACCTGTGCCCGGGTTGTTCAGGGTCTAACCTGTGTCACTGTGTATCAAGAGAATGGAACAGAACACAATGGAAGTCAGGGCAGTCCAGGATCAAACCCCTCCCCCGGCATTTGTGCAAGCAGAATTCAAGTTGCTACAGACACGGTCTATAAGCTGCCGCCCATTCTCCTCCCAATGAAGGCCAAAATACACACAACCATAGACTGTAAAACTGCTCCCAAAGTTTTCTTCTGCTACACTTAACTCATATTTGACCAGTATTTATTCTTTGCCACAACAAAATCTTATTTTCACCAGCAAACACCAGACAAACTAAGATAAAGCAATAATACAAACACAAACAAAATGTTAGTAGAAAATAAAATTACAATCACATACCGTGTGCGCCTCCTGAGCAGGAATTAAGAAGTTGTTACAGTCCTTTTATGTCCCTTTATTAATCTTCACCGACAAACCTCTCTTTTTATCTGTGTCAGGCTACGGTCAGTAGCTCCTGGCCGCATACAGTTTCCTTTAATGATCATGTGAACGCTGCACGCTGTCCATTCAGCCCAATACACTCTTTGGCCAGCAGGTTTCAGTAACACTCCAGACAATTTACATTTCAAAACAAAAAAAATCTCTGCAAAAACATTTAAATCTCGACAAAGAAACACATCCTCAGGTACAGCTACAGACTGTGTAAAATAATGGGCGTAGCTACCATGGCGACGCACAGTGGTTTTTGGACTCCTATTATGAAGTCTCTAGTTTGGCATTTTGGCCGTTGCCATCTTGGATTTTTGGAGCCACAATGGATCATATTTGGATGAGAGGTTCAAACTGAGTATGAATCAATTTATTTTCATTGTGAATTGAAAATGGCTGAGGGGCCACCCTATTGTGGGCCAGATTTGGCCCACGGGCTGTAAGATGATTCTGCTCATGCTGAAGCAGTAGCATAAGGTAGTTACGATGGGGCCCAGTGCACTATAGATGTGGTCACTGGCCAGGGGCGTAAATAGAGATCATGCAAGCAGGCTGTGTTATACTGCTGCTTTTATGTTACATCCACCTGCAGATGAGCCGAATGTGTGGCGTCAGTCCGACCACCCTATAGACGAATTCGGCGAGCGATTTGTGTATGCCGCCATCTTGCGGAGGCGCCATTGCTGTGGTGACATGTGTCAGTCATCAATTCATTATGCTGTCATTATGAACTGACTCTCTACAATGACAGCGTAATGAATAGCTGGATTGATGATGTTAGACAGTAGCCTCTGGTAACTGATGAAGGTATCTTAAATGAGTACCGATATTAATATAGAAATTATTTATGATTAAATTATTATTTGAGATCCATTAGTCCGACCTCCCAGTAATCCGACCATATTTGTGTCATGTTTTTAATGATAATTAAAATGGATACCTCAATCAGAGATTCTACCAGATAGTCTGACGTAACTACCTTATATCATACAGGTACAGCTCAGCACCGCATTATAGATACCAATGTTTTCGCGTGTAAACAGCCCTGAAGTTGACCCTCCAATTCTCGCTATTGAGGGAAGTCACTAAACGATATGACACTCTTGGTTACAGTTGCACGCAAAACTAGCCCAGCCCCAACCACAACAATAAAATAGGCTAAACTACAACAAAAATACAATAAAATGGCTATTTTAAGTAGCCTTCAACACGGCCCGAAACGCCCTCTGGGTAATATGCAAAACCACTGGCTGATGTCACTCACCAGCCAGCACACTAGCGAACACGTTGAGTTGTGAGCACCAGACATGTGATGCCGTGGTGCATTCGGTAACACATCAGCAATTAAATAAAAAAATTGCATCCGTAGTGATAAGAACTACCATAGACAGTGTAAAACTGAAGAGAATTAAGGCTTCACCAAAGCCACGTGAGTCTCCACCATATGTTCCGACCAAGGAGGTTTGGTTCTGACAGAACTGAATTTATTGGATTGAATTTATTAAAGGATATACCCCTTGAGATGGACCATCTCATTTTCGAAACTGGGTGGTTGCGTTGTCCCCAGATGAGCCCAGCTCGACAGTCTTGAAAGATTTTGCATCTGAACTAGCTGCTATCAATCATATCATCTTGTGTCATGATTAACCAGATAACATCAACATAAATATTACCCAGCAACTATCATAACATAGCCTATCTGTATATGTCAAAAACTACAAAAGAAAATAGGAAATTATTAGTTTAACTAAACAGTTTTATACAGTCAGATTATACTTTATTTTAATAGTTTATGTACAATAAGCATATACTTTTATTATAGATTAATTCTATTTTACAAAAAACAGACAACTATGATGGAGATCAACCCGGTCTCACTCCAAAGTCGTTGAAATCTGGTGCTTGGGCAGTGACCTGCTGTGTAAGAAACCAACAAAAAAAGGCATCCTTTAATGTCGGCAGCTGGTCGCCGTTATAGTTTAGCAGCGCTTGGCAGCATCAAGGGGAAACGTGGCGGGACAAAAACAGCAGTTGAGGTGGTGAAAGTCCAAGTAGGGCGGGCAGGACGGGTCGTGGGTGGGTCCAACAAACCATTTTCACCCGGGAGAGCCATGTTCACATCCCATAAGATTGTAAATCCAAACCCTGTTCTTTTTTTCTAAACTTAATAGTTGGTGAAGGAAATAAATGTCAATTAGTACTGATGTAGTGTTTTTATTTTGAAAGAGACTGTATGCAAACTGTACATTTCCTGTGAAAACAGAAGTGTATTCTGAAAAGGTCAACAACCAACACACCCAGGGTACCCTGGACGTCGTATGTGGACGTGGAAAGTCCATGACCAAACGTGGACATGTGACAAGGTCACAGTGAGGATGTGTTTTTCTTTTTGAGGGCACATATAGAAAATCGCACAAATTTTGATTTAATAAGAATTCTTCTTTGAATACAGGTCTATTTCCAGGTTGCAATTGGGCCCCTCCACCCCAGGGGCCCCAGCGCAACAGCTCCGCAGGTGTATACACACCTGTTCTAATTAGCTGTTTAGCTTAGTGCTAAAGTCAAGTTTCACTGGATTGAATTGTGCAAAAGAAAAGCCAGAGGGAGAAGGTGAAATATTTAGTGAAGGGGCGAAAGGGAGAAATATCTGGTGACAGAGGGATGAAACAGAGGAGAGTAAGGAACAGAGAGGATGAGGGATGAAGGATGAAGAAAAGGGGATGAAGGAGGAGAAGAGCGTGGGATGAGAAAGACGGTTAAGACGAGCAGAGGGAGGGAGCACACGCATACACACACATACAGAGGTGACTGTGACGTCAAACCGGAGCCCAGCTGACTCGCTCGCTCCGCCGTGCCTCTCACTGACCAGCCTCGCGCTCTCTGCACATCAACTCCACGCGGCTGCTGCTGCTGCTGCTGCTGCACGCCCTTTGAAACAGCGAGGAGGAGGAGAAGGAGACGAAGAAGGAAAAGAAGAGGGTGAAAAACCGGGAGGACTCGCGCGGAGAGACAGCTCACCGGAGGAAGAGGAACTGGAGGAGGAGAAGGAGGATGAGCCTCCGTTGTCATCCTCGCGCGCAGCACGGGGACACATAAGACATTGTCTTTTGGACACTTTCCACGGACACGAGCTGCTTTACCTCCTCAGAGAGAGAGAGTAGGATTGTGTCTTGGCACCGCTCCCCCCCTCCTCCTCCACAGCCAGGTGTTGCATTCAAGCGCGAGCCCCTCATGTCGATGGAGAGGCACAAGGAGGGTTGATCCGCGCTGCGGAGCTCGCGCACTCGACTCTGATCCTGTCTGCGAGCCTCTCGAGCAACAACAAGTTGATGATTTTTGATCTTCCTCTGGCTCCTGACCGCGTTTAGAGACACGGAGGCTGTGACCGGATTCTTCTTTCTTTGGGCTGCTGACCTCACCGGATTTGTCTTTCTGTGGCATCGTTGATGAACGGGAATTAACGTGATTTGTGCTTTATTTTTTTGGCTCTGCAGCTGCACGCGCAAATAGGGAAAGGATGGCAAAGTGAGCGAACCCAGCTGTGCCAGACGCGCGAGCCATTTTTGGGTTAAATTTGAAAGAGCACATTTTCCCGAAAGCAGCTGCCTGACATCGCGTGCACCCCGAGCCTCGCGCAGTGTTTTTGACGGATCCAGGCTTTCCGTGGCGCCGCGGCACCCTGATGGTGCGGACGGTCGGCGCACGGTGGCTCGAGCTGCCGCTTGGACACAAAGCCCGGTGATTTTTAGCCTTCAGCACGGAGACACGGTGCATGATGATGATGATGGTGATGATGATGATACGCGGTTAATCCGGGAGATGCTTTTCTACTCGAGTCGGATTTATGTTGCTTTTCTTCGCGTGACGATGAACTCCAACCGCGCTTTACCCCGTGCCGTGCTCGCCGCAGCCCGAGAGAGAAGCAAGCACCCCCGGTTCAATGCGCACGAGAGGACATCGTCTCCCCAAAATCGCTGAGCTAACTCACAACCGGGAAGGGAGGGATCATTCTAACCGACACAACCGATAAGGAGGAGAAAACAACAACAACAACATCAGCAGCAACAAGCGGCAGCAGTGATGGAGCTGTCCGAGGTCCGGTGCTCCAGCGCGAGCGAGGAGCTGTACACCATCAACAAGACCCCGAGCAGCAGCAACAACAGCAACAGCAGCGGCAGCGCGCGACCCAAACGGCTGCTGTGGCAGAACGCGGTGCGGCACATCACCGAGCAGCGGTTCATCCACGAGCAGGGCGGGGGAGGCGGAGGGGTGAAGGGCATCGGGCCGGACGAGCCCTTCGACCCGAGCCAGGACGCGCGGAAGCAGTCGGCGGGGCGGACGTCGGTGGGAGACCGGCACAACAACGGCGGGACCAAGGTGTTCCCGGAGCGCGCCAGCAGTGACTTGGGCTTCCTGCAGATCGACTGCGCGCCGAGCAACTCCGACTTCTTCCTGAACTGGGGCTACACGTACCGGGGCGTCATCTTCCCCACGCTGCGGAACGCCTTCAAGTCCCGCGACCTGGAGCGGCTCTACCAGCGTTACTTTCTGGGCCAGAGGCGCAAATCTGTGGTGGTGATGAACATCCTGGACGTGGTGACCAAGCTCACCCTGCTGGTGCTGCACCTCACCCTGGCCTCCTCCCCGATGGACCCGATCAAAGGGACCCTCCTGGGCTTCTTCACGGGCATCGAAGTCGTCATTTGTGCCTTAGTGGTGGTGCGGAAGGACACCACGTCGCACAGCTACCTGCAGTACAGCGGCGTGGTCACCTGGGTGGCCATGGCCACGCAGATCCTAGCGGCCGGGCTGGGCTACGGGCTGCTGGGTGACGGGGTGGGGTACGTGCTCTTCACCCTGTTCGCCACCTACAGCATGCTGCCGCTGCCGCTCACCTGGGCCATCCTGGCCGGCCTGTTCACCTCGGGGCTCCACATCCTGGTCCAGCTGCTCATCTCCCAGAATGCACAGCTCTCTACCAACCAGGTAAGCGCTCACCTGTCCTCCTCCATCTTCTCCCCTTCCTCTCCTCCACCCATCCTCCTCCTCGTCTCCTTCATTGCTCTCTTTCTTTACTTTTCTTCCTCCATGCATCCTTCCCTAATCCCCCTCTCCTTCTCTTTATCTCATTTCCAATCTTCCTCAATGCCCCCCCCCCTTCCTCATTTCCTTTATTGACTTTCTCCTCTTCCTTCATCTTCTACCACCTCCTCCTGATTATCCTGTTTGCTATCTTTCCCCTCCTCTGTCTCCTCTCGTTCCCCCCTTCGCCTCCTCTCCTTGCCTCCCAATTTTCTCTCCTTTCTTCCTCTCCCCTTGTTCCCCCCTTCGCCTCCCCTCCTTGCCTCCTATGTTTTCCTCCCTTTCCCATTTCTCCATCTCCCACAATACCCTCCCCTCCCCTCTCCTCTTCCTATTGACCTTCCCCTCTTCTTTCTTCATCCTCTACCACCTCCTCTATGTCCCCTTCGTTACCCCCTTAGCCTCCTTTCCTTGCCTCCTCTTCTTCTCTATCTCCATCTTCCACTATACTCCCCCTCCTCTTCCTCCTCTCCTTTGCTGACCTTCTCTACTTCCTTTATTCTCTGCCACCTCCCCACTTACCCCCCCTTTTCCATCTTTCCCTTCCTATCTCCCCTTTGTTACTCCCTTAGCCTCCTCTCCTACTCTTTTATCTCCCCTTGCCTCTCCCTCATCTCTCCTCTTCCCTGCTCCCTTTGTCTACCTTATATTCTCCCCTCTTCCTCGTCTTCATCACTGATCATCTCTTCTTCCACCCTCATCTTCTCCTCCTAATCCCCCTCTTTGCCATCTTCCCCCTCCTCTATCGCCCCTTTGTTGCTCCCTTAGCCTCCTCTCCTTGCCTACATAATTTTCTCTTCTCTCCTCCTCTTCCTCTACTTTCTTGACCTCTTCTTCCTCATCTCCCTTTTTCTTCCCGCTAATCCTCCCCTCTTCTCCTCCTGTTGTCCACACTCCATCTTCATCCCTTCTTCCTCTTCTTCTCCCTTCCGTCCTGCTCTTTATCTCAGTGTCTTCCACCCTCTTCTCCTTTTTGTTTTTCTCATCTTCCTCCACTCACAATAGTTTTCTCCCTTACCGATCCCCTCCTCATCTTCCATCTCGACTCCTCCAAACTTGTTGACACATGTCTGCAGAGTGCTGATGAGATGTTGGTGTTAGCTGAAGCTCTCAGCTGTGTGAAGGAACACTGCTTGGGTTTGATATACATTTCCCTCGCTTCATATTTGTGCTTCTGATCATGACACTACGGCCTGGGCAGCAGCAGCAGCTGACACCTGAAACTACACTTGGCTTGCGTTGTTGTGTGTGAACAGGTGTGAATTTGTCAGTTCACCTAGGCTGTTTGTCGCTCCGTGTCAGTGACTTCCTGGTCTTGAATTTGTTTCTTGAAAGCTTTCAGGGTTAATAACAAATGAGGCTGTTTCTGTGTGACATCAGTCTGCTCTGACTGCTGAGCTTTCAGCACTGGGAGCTGTCCCACACACACACACACACACACACACACACACACACACACACACACGAACAAAGGTCCTGAAATGCACTGCAGCTCGGAATAAGTTCAGCACCCCCTACTGGTGAATATCATAATCATAAACCAGCTCTCATATAACCTGTATGCATCCCCAACCTTTTCAATATTTAGTATACGATGCAGCACATGAGCTTTGTGATCTGGTACACGGGCTTTAGAATCTAACCAGTGACACTGAGGTTTAAATGCTGACTTTCAGCTTTAACTTGATGCACTTTCCTTGTTTCCTAGTTTTCCCTTACTTGTTTTTTTTTTTTTTTTTACTTTTGAAAGCAGTCAGTGTCTGAAATGTCACATAGTACAGCTTGTGCAGTGCATTTAGTCTGAGTGGGCGGAAGTTCGCTGCATAGATCAGCCGAGCCACCTGCTGAAGTCCCGCCCTACCACCTCCGGTTGTGTAGCAGTTTTCAACCGTTTTCAACACGTCCTTTACTAACTTTTGCAGTGTTTGATCTCGCGGGGATGTAGCCATTTTTCTGCCATGGTTCGCGTCCTGTAGGTGATATTTTTGTGGGCGTGTTACACCAAAACCTGTTTCCCCCCGGCAATATTTTTGCAAGCGCACCGTTGCTGTGGCACCGCCCAGAACGAAAGTGATTGGTTGAAAGAAGTACAAGCAGCCGGGGCGTTTTTTTCTCCAATCTTAAAGTGAGAGTCGGCCCAGCCAGACCTTTCTTTTCTTGAGAAAGGTCTGGTGAGCAAGACTAAGTGCATTTAAACCCTGCAGCACAATGCTGTCTATGCCTGTGTTTGATTCATGGAGGTGTAACAAGAGCTTTTTGAACCATAGATCCATTTTACTCGACCCTGTACTAGGGGTGTGCCATGTCATCTGGTTCACAGTAATACTGGTTTGAGTTTTATACCAGTTGATTCTTGCAGTATTTCAACTTATTGACATATTGATAGGGCTGTAGTCTCCTGGTCGACTAGTCGATTATTTGGTTGCTGTGCTCTCGTTCGACCAAATTCTCATTAGTCAAATAATCGCCGTGTTACTTTCATAAGGAGAAAAGTGCTACATCAACAGATTTCCAGGATAAATCCATTATTTCCTGCGGCGGGGGGACAGGCTAAGTTACCTGTGAAAATGGAGGTGTTTTCAAAACACCACACAACAGACCTCCTGTCAGTTACCAACACCATTTCCCTCAGTGGAAACGAAGCTTGTATTTACTTGTATTTCACAGATAAACAATAAATTGTGAAGACAGTAAAGCCTCCACTAAAATAGCATTTTAAGTCCTGTGAGTGATTTATTCTTCAGGGATTTATACTGCAGGATTTATCCTGGCTTCATATGAGCAGAGGAAATCCCCCTGCTCGTCGCTAGGCTAATGTATACAATGTAAAATGCCATAGGCTGGCGCTAATAACGTTAGCATGTTGTATTTGTTTGGAAAACGTGTTTAGTATAAGACAGTTGTTTTGTCGGTGAATGCTGTGAGTTGTAATGGAGCCAAATTATGTGCCGTTACCTTTGTTACATGTTGCTGTTGTCCCTGGTTTCATATGAGAAGAGGAAAAGATCGCTAGACAGTAGGCTAATTTACACAATGTAAAATGCCATAGACTTGTGCTAATAACGTTAGCATGTTGTATTTGTGGGGAAAATGTGTCCAGATAAAAACAAGTGTTTGTCTGTGAATGCTGCGAGTTATAGTGAAGCTGATTTGTGTACTTGTGTTTGAAACTGTCTCTATTAAGCTATGTTTAATGTGTGTTTAATGTGTGTTTTGAATCAACTAAACTTTACAGCACTTAACACAGTCCTCCACTGCTGACTAGTGTTTTGGAGGTGTAACTGCAGAGTGACACAGACACACCACCGCACAAGTAAAAATAATGTGCAGATTTTTTTTTTTTCCCACGACTAATCGATTAGTTGAAGATTACGTGCGACTTTAGTCGACCAAGATTTTCTTTGGTTGCCTACAGCCCTACATATTGACACCATACTGCATGGCTGAAAGCGAAATTATAACAAACCCCAAGTGGTTCCAAAAAGAGGAGCAGCTTTAGTAGTATCGAATAAACTTTGGCGTCCTTGGTGTTTTATGAACAGCCCCGGACTTCTCAGAGTTTTTAGTGACTTACCGCTCAGAGGGAACTCATTCAGCGGCTCCTCTGGCAGCAGCACAGCGTCTCTCCCTCTCCTTTCTCGCCATGAGTGCACAGGAGTCACAGTCGTCAAGTGATTTTGTCATAAACCTTTGGTAATGTAAACCTACGTGATGCTCGCGGCTTGTCAGAAACTTCCATATATATGAGTGTGTGATAGTTGTGGTATCATAACAGCCTGTCACAGGTTACAGCGTGATGATTAGAGGAGAAATGGCAGAGCATAAAAAAGAGAAGGAAATCAGCTGTTGATTTATATATATAGATCCCAGGGGACATTGTTTGTATTTGGGAGCTGTTTAAATGTGTAATTAGTGGTAGATTTAATTTTGTTAAACTATTAATATTGTGACAAAATCTGAATCTCACTCAGAGTTACTGTTGTTGTTCACAAACTAAAGAAATGAGAGATCGTTTTTTAGTTGTTACTGTTGCGTTTCTATGTTCTTAAATCCATCCATTCCATTACTAATTTGTCATATCATCAAGACAGTAGTTATGGCAAAAATACTCTGAAATATCCTGATATTATTTTATCGCCCACCCCTACTCTGTACATCCAAAAAGCTTTTCGTCTTTGTGCTGAGGAAACTTGAGCTGTGAGAAAAGCCTTCTTCCTCAAAATTCTTTTCTCTCTCAAATAGTACTGCACTAGTGAGCCACATGGGATATCACACTGCAGGTGATGACTGTGTCAACAAAATGTTTTTTTATTGGAGCACGCGGCTGCACACTTGACAGATTGTGCCGTTAAAAATGTTAAGTAGCGTCTCCGTCATGTTTGCTGTCATGGCTAAAAGTGTGTTGAGGTAATAATAAAACCACCAGGGCGCACTTCAAGTGAACAACATAATTATTCATCAGTGAAAAGCTTATTTATTTCTCACTCATTTGTTCTGGCTGGTTTTAATGTGAACAGACGGCTGCAGGCTGTCATCAGAAGTTGTCGTCCACATTCTGCATGTTGGAGAGCTGTTTGTTTAAAATGTCCACACAGTTTAACTGAATGTTTGTTTGATTTGTTCAGCGATGGGTAGATCAAGGACAAACTGCAGAGAAGGAGACACTGTCACTGTGTAGCAGATAAGGCGCTGTGTGTGTGTGTGTGTGTGTGTGTGTGTGTGTGTGTGTGTGCTTCAATAGAAAACTCTCACCTGAAGTGGATTATTCAGAATGTGGAAGTCAGAAGTCTCTGAATATCTTCGCTGTGGCAAAGGAAAACAATCTCAGTGAAGCTCTCAGGTGTTTTAACTTTTAATTAAGCCTTTATTTTCTGTCAAATGTTCTCACGTGCAGCACATATCTC